TGAACCACCCATAAATATATTGATTTGTTATTGATTAAAATGATTATTTACATGAATCGTATTATCATGCAACTTGTCTTAAGGCAAAATAATATTAACAACTAGTTTATAATAAATTTCACTTACCAAACATAACCTCTTTCTGACAGCTACTAACCGGCATGTACACACAAATCATAATAGTAATAATTTATTATAAAGTAGTACTTAGTGTTATCAATTTATTATAAAACAACGCTTATTGTATTCACTGAAAGAATTAGAACACTTTAAAACTATTTATTGTGTTTGATAAAGCAATGCTTTAGATATTTTAACACGATCTAACTAAATAAATAAATAATAAATTAATATTGAAGAGAAGTGAAGTTCGCTTATGACAGTTGAACGTCATACACAAGAGTGAAGTTGGTAATAGAAAGCATGACATGGATTTGAATTTAAATTTTCAAATTCAAATTTATAAATTTTGACGATATTTATATATGATATTTACATATATAATGTAATAAAATTTCAGATTTAGGAGTTCTATTTGATTCAGGTTTCTTTTTCACGGATCATATAACTGATATTTGTAATAGAGCACACAAATCTTTAGGTTCGATACTGAGAAATTGTAAACAATTTAAATCTACCAATGCGCTTCTTTGCATGTACCATTCTATTGTACGTTCAAAATTAGAATATGGTTCGATTATTTGGTATCCTCATCAAACCAACAACTCTGATGCGATAGAGAAGGTTCGGCGAAAATTTCTGAAATACCTTTATTATAAAACATATAAAATTTACCCTGAACGTTGCTTTGACCACAACACTTTACTAAAAGAATTTGGTATTCCTTCCCTTGCCTCTCGTCGATTTATCTGTACAATTATGTTCTTATTTAAACTTTGCAATAATTCTATAGACTAGTGACAGCTGTACTCTAATTCTTAACTAACTATCCTTTAATGTTCCAAGGCTATCTTTGCGTTCACAATTATTTTTCAATTATCCTACTCCTAAATCTAATTCTCTCTTAAATTCGCCTATTCTACTTATGTCCTCTAACTTTAACTTAATTAATAATGAAATAGATATTCACAACACTTCACCTAATCAAATAATCTCCATCTGCACAAGTTAAACTTTTTATTTTCTTTTCAAATATCTCATTATTTTATCTTATTCTGTTTATAAATAATATTGTTACATTCTGCATTATATGTAATTTTATGCAAGCATTTTATGTTAATAACTATATATTGTAATTTTGTATATATTGTAATTGTTATTTATTTGTAAAATAACTGTATTTTTGAGTCCTATTGGAAGAAATCTGTGGGCTATTTAAATAAATTATTATAAATTATTATAAAACAACAATCCTATACACTATTTCCATAAATCAATATTTATTCATCCATCTTTACAATGAATTACATTGTATTAAATGCTACTAAACACATCTATGTATATTACTTCTGAATTTATTATTATTACAAACTAATGACTATTTCAGTTCCCTTATTGTGCATGAAAAAAGATAATTTAAACATTCATCATGCACAATTGTTCAATAAAAATTAATATAAATTGCACTATTTATTCATTACACATGTAAAAGCGAGTATATATATAATATATACTAAATTCAAGTCTTAGAAATAAATTAAAGTTATTTTATATTGCAGTAAGTCAATTATAATGATAAATGAAATATTTATTTGCATGCAAATTGCAGGAATAAAAAGCAATAGATAAGTAATGAGTTATGTACATTATAAATTCTAAAAAAATATTTTACAAAGAAGATATAACATTTATAAAGATATATCAATACATACCAAAACAATAAAAAACACAAGACACATATTTTCAAGACTTTGTTTAATGAAAAAACAAACTAATAGAATAAAATAATTAAATACAAGTTAAATAATAACATTATGTAGTTAATCACATCACTGACAATTTGTAAATGGCGCCCAAAATGCACAGCAATGCCTTATGGAAAACGAAGGGGTTCACAAATGTGGATGCAGGATTGAGTTCTGGCAAAATCTAGCCGCTTGCAAGAGAGTTTTAACAATGATGCAAAAAGAATGAAGAAAAACAAAACAAAGTGTTGAAAAGATTAATAAATTTATTATCTAATACTCTGTTTTATTTTCCTTAATCCTCTTTCCATCATTATTAATACTCTCTTGCAAACGGCTAGTTTTTCCGAAAGCTCGATCCTGCATCCACTTTTTGTGAACCCCTTCGTTCCAATATGGTGTAATTTGAAATTTCGCGCGCCATTTACAAATTGTCAATGATGTGATTAACTACATAATGTTATTATTTAACTTTTATTTAATTATTTTAATTTATTAGCGTGTTTTTTCATTAAACAATGTCTTTAAAATGTGTGTGTTGTGTTTTTTTCCTGGTTCGGTATGTATTGATATTATATATATCTTATCTTCTAGTGTACTTATAATGTAAAATGTTTTTTACAATGATGACACACATACAGTGTCGAAACGTACATATTAAATTATATATTGCTTTTTATTGTGACTATTTGGATGCATATAAATATTTCAGATATATAATATATTATATATATATATATATATATATATATATATATATATATGGAAAACAAAATAGGTTATGTATATATTAAAAATCTTATTAATAAATAAAGATATATACCTCTGTACGTTTTAATATATACATAAACAAAAGCATTTGTTTTCGATTTAAAAAATTATATTACACATATATATTAATGTCTGATATTTGGACTTTATACACGGTGGGAAATATATGTATATATATATATATATATATATATATAAATATATATATATATATATGATGCATCCATCTAGAAAATAAAAATAGAAAGAAACTAAATCATGTTTCTAAAAACAAAGTTAATCGATATGCTTGAATTCCAGTTTATATCTTCTTCAGAAAACCAAACTATAAAAAATACAAGATACAAGAAAAAATATTAAATTTATCATAAAATGAACAACAAAATATTATAAACGAGTGTTGAAAAATTAAACAACAAAAACCTTTTAAATGTAAATTATTTGTAACACAAAAACACAAAAATATATTAAATGAAAAAAATAAAATTTAATTAATCACTTAATAATAATTTTTCAATGTCAATTTTACCAAATCATATTTTTGTTATTGATAAATTCAATATATTTTTTTAATTTATTTTATTTATCATTTTTTAGTGTTTGGTCCAATGAAGAAGAGTCAAATTAGGATTCGAAACGTATGGAAATCGATTAAAAACATTCTTAGTTTTTTGCTTTATCATTTTTTTAATAATTATAAGTTTGATATTATTTATATTATACGAATTTTTGTAGTTTTGTGCACTGAGGAAGAGTCAAATTAAGACACAAAATGTATGGAAATCGATTAAATTTTTTTTCTTAGAAACAATAAGACTTCCTTTTTATTATTTTGATGGAAACTTGCGAAAAAAACCTATAATATATATATATATATATATATATATATATATAAATTTATTTAATATAAGACTCCTAGATTTTCCAATATATTCATGTTTTTTTGCAAACAATTAATCTAAGAAAAACAACAAGTTTTCTGAAGATGTTCAATTAAGACGTTTCGGAACTAGATAGGTTCCATCATCAGATTTTTTGTGTGAAATACAAACTTATTATTTTGTAACTGTATTATTGAAGAATTTTGTTAGAACAGCATAATAAACGAAATGAATGGATTCTGATTTTTTTTAATAAAAAATTGAATATTAAATGCAATAACATTTTTCAAATTTATAAAAAAAATGTTTACAAAAAATACACACACACAAATACATCGAACAGTTCTAAGGAAATTATTCAATAATATATTTACAAGACAAGTTTAAAAATTAAAAAAAAATCCGTGACAAAAGGACACAAAGTAAAACTCCTTTTAAAAAAATGATTGTTTTTTGTCGGGAAAAAACTGATGATGGAACTGATCTAGTTCCGAAACGTAGTTACTAATATTGATGACACAAAGTAAAATTCCTTTTAAGAAACTGATCGTTTTTTTGTCAGAAAAAAACCTGATAATAAAATTTCTTTTAAGAAAATATTAATTTTTTGTCAGAAAAAAACTGATCCGAAACGTAATTATTAATATTCATGAAATAAAGTAAAATTCCTATTAAGTAATTTATCATTTTTTGTCAGAAAAAACCTGATGATGGAACGTATCCAGTTCCGAAACGTAGTTATTAATATTTACGACACAAAGTAAAATTCCTCTTAAGAAAACGTCCGTTCTTTTGTCAGAAAATATCTGATGATGAAATTGATCCAGTTCCGAAACGTAGTTATTAATATTCATGACATAAAGTAATATTTTGTTTTTAGTGAAAACTTGCTGATGGAACGTATCTAGGTCCGAAACGTCGTAATTAAACATTTTATTGTTGTTTTGATTAATTGTTTGAAAAAAAAAATGAGCTAATATAGATATACATACATATACATAAATATATATACATATACATATATATATATATATATATATATATGTATATATTTAATATTTTTTATCTTAAACTAATATTTACTCAAGTCCAAAAAAATCTTCAATTAATTACCAAAAATACATATTTCACAAAAAGCATGTAAATCCATGCACCGTATAACTTTATACATACAAATATATATAATTCATAAAAAGTAAATATAATTCGTAAAAAAAATATAAATCTACATATATGTATAAATATAAAAAACTTATTAAAAAAATTGGTAAATCATACCAAAATAATAGAAAAATAAATAACTTTTAACTTTGTAAAGTTAAAAAAAGTTTAGGTTTATACATATATGTTTGTGTATAATATATCGTCTGTTATATATTTATATATATATTAATTTGTCGAATAAATAATTTATCGTGTCAAGTGTTAGTTTAGTCGATATTAGTATTTGAACTTGAAAAATTGTCTAAGTCGTGTGGATATACACACAAATATATATATATATATATACATATATATATATATATATATATATATATATTGTTATGTGTGTATATCCACACATGTTATAATTTCGTTTACCGTATGCTAGTGAATAGATTTAGTACAGATTTATTCTCTTTTTGACTTCTGGCTTTGGAAAATACGTTCCAAAATCTTAATGTTTCATCCCCAGCACCAGTGACGATGGCTTCACCATCAGGACTTAAGGCTAAATACAGGACTCGATAGGAGTGTCCTGTTAATTTGGCAACCTGGGAAAAAAATATCATTAGAAAAAAATATTAATAATACTATAATTAGACATATATATGAGCCAACTAGCATCATGCCTGGATTTGCCCAAGGCAAATTGCTGGAACTTGCCGCACCGTAATTAAAAATTCGAGTAATGACATTACTGAGAATTATCAGAATTATGCTTGGTTAAGTCAACGAGCAATTCTTGTTGCAAAGAATAATGATGTACACGCACTGAATTTCACCATTCAATCAAAAATTGTTGGCGATTTGGTGACATACCAATGATTCCGACTGGTCTTCCGTTTGACTTCAAACGATTGCAATTTCCAGTTTGCCTTGCGTTCGCAATAACAAGTCGCAAGGCCAATCGCTTAGTGTTTGCGGGATAAATTTCAAATAGATTATTTAGAAAATAATTGTTTTTCACATGCGCAGTTATACGTTGCCTGTTCATGAGGAAAACACCATCCGCTTTGTTTGTGTTAACGTCAGACCAAAAAACAAAAAATGTGGTTTACCAAAGAGCACTTCAATGAAACGGATAATTTGCGGATTCACTTTCATTTACTTAGAGAAGTTCAGCTAAAAAACAATAGAATCAATTTTTTTCCTTTTCAAATATAAAACAAACAAAAAATTTCGTCATCTTTCTCACGAAACCATCTGGTGGCGACACGGAGTTCGTCAGGTTTGCTAGTTTATTATAAATACACACTGTAAACTTATAAGTGCTTATTAAATTGGGCCACTAGCGTGTTCTACAAATAACTTATATGAATGTTTACAAAAAAATTGTTCATTTTTCCGTAAAATTTGATTTTTTTGATAATTTTGAAAGTTCGATTTTTTTGCAATTCCTGGAAAAAATCCTTTTTTTTTAAATTTTCTTGGGAATTTGAATTATGATATTTTATCGAATATTTTCAAAATATAGATTTTTTCTTGAAAATGATGAAAAGTTCCGAAAATTTGAATTTTTTTAAACTTTAAATATTTTTTGAAAATTTTGATTTTTTTTTTTTTTTTGAAAACTTTTAAAATTACGAAGTTTTTGTAAAAGCATCTTTTGCACACTGTCTACACAATAAAAACATTTTTTGAATTAATTTAATCGAATGTTTCGTTCTATCAAAAACTGCATAACCATTTTTACACCCATTGCGCTCCGAAACGACAAGACGTGCCTTTTGCAAAAATGCCTCGCGACCAAGTACGAACCGAATGTTTTTTTCAATCATACAAATAGGTTATTCCATACTGTCGATGACATTTTGTTTTAGCCATATAAATGAATTTTAAAAATAAAAATCTTGGTACGGAATCCAAAAAAAGACTCAAAATATGAACACATTATTATAATCTTTATAAAACATCTGATAATTTGATGTGCATATGTCTAATGATGAACATTTATGACCGCCAAATGACATTTTTCTAATTTATTTGCGATGAGAGTCCATAACCGCTAGACCTGTCTTAACCTCAAAAATTTAAACAGTTCTTCGTTTATAATACAATTAAAATTATATTTTAATTATTCAAATCGGACGCTCCGTTCTCTTAAAACAGGAGCTACCGTTTTTGGCACTTTTTGCCCCGTATCTTCGAAACGGCTAGACCTACCTTTGCCAAAAGCTAATCAACACGCCTCCTTAGAAATACGAATCAAATGCTTTTTGAATTATTCAAATCGGTTGATCCGTGCTCTCAAAAACGTCGATGAAATTTTGTATCCGCACACACACATATATTAATTTATGCCAACATGTTCAGAAACCTTTAAAACGTAAAGATATGCAAATTTTTTCATTTTCGATTTTTTTACGATTACTGTAACTTATCCTAAGGAAAATTAATAATATAATAAATAGACTTTAATAAATGAGACAAAAAAGAGAGTTGAAAAGTAGTCCTTATGATTTGAGAAAAATTATATGAGAAGAAAAATGGTATATTGGAATTGAAAAATGATATATCATTCACAAAAAATCACAAAATATCACGTGGGGTAGGGAGGGGTATAGTAAGATATCACGTGCATTTATTTTTGATTATATATTCTTTTAACTAGCTGTAAGTGGAATTCTGTCTTAAGGCAATTAGGGCATCGTGCCTTAAGGCAAATTGCTGGAACTTCCCGTACCAATAATTATTATTTTTTTTTAAAACGATTAACATTTTTGAAAAAAAAATTACTCTGAAAAAATAAGATTTTTGAGAAACTATAATTGGACAAAAAATTAGTTTTTTTTTTGAAAAAAAAAAAATTTTTTAAAAAAATTTTTTTTAAAAAATTTTTTTTTTTTTTTGAAAAAAATTTTTTTTTTCTTTATTTTGACATATTGTGGAAGATCTGAACTTTTTTTTCAAAGCAATCGTACTGCTTTAACTACATAGGGACAAAATATAAAGCGCGTAAGCGCCGCGTCGCTGTCTAACGCATAAGCATTGGTACGGAACCGATAGGAATGTTAACAAAATGTATACTTATTGTTAAAATCTCTATAAAATGTCTGATAATTTGATGTGCATATGTCTAATGATCATTTTTGACCGCCAAATGGCTCATTTTTTTACTTTTTCCTCTATATCTCCGAAACCGCTAGACCTACCTTTATGAAAATTTATAGATTCTTCATCTTGTCAATACAAGTGAAATGTTTTTTTGAATTATTAAAATCGGACGCTCCGTTCTCTTAAAAACCGAGTTACCGTTTTCGGAACTTTTTGCCCCGTATCTTCGGAACGGCTTGACCTGCCTTTGCCAAAAACTAATCAGCACGTCTCCTTATCAACACGGATCGAATGTTTTTTGAATTATTCAAATCGGTTGATCCGTGTTCCCGAAATCGTCGACGAAAATTTGTATCCGCACATACATACACACACATACATACACACACATACACACACACACACACACATACATCCATTTTTTCTAAGGTATGCCAAAATGTTCAGAAACCTCTGAAACGTAAAGATATATAAAAATTTTCATTTTCGATTTTTTTGCGATTACTATAACTTGCCCTACGGGAAGTTAAAAAAATCCAAACATTTTCAAAAAAATCAAAAATTTCACAATTTTTTGTCGTAACTGAAAATACACGTGATGTTTTGGTGGAAGAGAGGGAATAATTTTGAATATCAACACGAATCCAAAAATCCCTAAAAAAATTGATTATGTGATTAATGAACACCCCTTATATACAACACAATTCTACATTCAGAATCGGTTAGTTACAGTCTTTTATACTGAATTTATTCTAAAAATATTTCTTATGGCTAAACAACAAAATGCCGGGCCAGCTAGTATATATATATATATATATATTATATATATATATATATATAGACTTCTATTTATAGTTTACCTGAGTTAAACTAGGATATTTCCAAACCAGTATTTGATTCTGGCTATATCCGTGTGTTGAAACTAACTCCGAGCTATGTTTTGACCAGGCGAGGTTGCACACTTGAGATCCTAATAATAAAATTGATTATTGTCTGAATATTAATATATATATATATATATATATATATATATATATATATATATATAAATTAAGAAATCAATCGTTAATTTTCCAAATTGTACTAAGACGATTTGCTGAATCCTGTTTCATTACTATGGATAGAAACAGCATTAACAAAAGAAGTGATTATTCCTTACTCAAAGCAAAAGTGATCTCAAGTAAATTTTGATAATGTCTCTGAATTCATTTTCGCATAATAACACTAATTTCGCAAAACTAATTCGCATGTAAAGTCAACTAATGTGCTTTGTGCACATATACTGATACAAAACACCAAAATCACTGATCTCGATAAGAAAAAATCAAAATTTTTTTTTAGCAAATTATTATTTTTTGCGGATGGAAATATTCCCAGGACATATGTCAAAAACATAAAGAATATCACACGTATTTTTTGTTTAGTAATTTTAAAAACTTTCTTAATTTTAAAATCACAAGTTTTATTTTAGACTTCTTGTTATAAATGAAGATCTTTTTACTCATGGATCAATTCTGCAGCATAACAGACACATCAGGGAATGCAATACCGGTATACCGGTATACCGAATTACCGGTAAACCGCCCGATTTTTCGGCGGTAATTTTACCGGTATTTACCCCAAAAATACCGGTATTTTTGGTATTTTTACATAAGCGCTATTTGATACATAATACACTAAAGCTTAAATTTATCGGAACAAATTTATCTTTAAATTCCATAATCGCATAAACAGCTATATCTTCAAGTGATTCTATAGGATAAACAAATGTCAAATATTATCTTAACCCGTCATTGAACTGAATATTTATTGCTTTTGCAAAGGGCCTCATATCGTGTTACAATAAATAGAATTGGACTGATAGATAATGATCTTTATTGTTTCATCCTATGTAAAAATGTAACGGTTTTTTATGTGATATTTTCGTCAAAATATTTTATATCATACAGATTACCTCTGCGTAATCTTTATTTTTTTCTAACTTTATACATAATAATTATGATAATTACTAAATATTTTTGCTTCTTATTGCAATTATAAAATATTATTTTTCGAAAACGTTTCGAAATTTGAAAATACTATAAAAGCATCACATTGTTTTAAATAACAATACTCAACATTTATAGTAACTTATTATTTATCTTGACAAAGTATCCGATCTTAAATTAGTATAGAAAATTATTTTTTAAAATATTGGTGATTATGCGAATTTAACACATCGGATACAGACAGTACAGTATTATAATAATGTAATATGATCTTTTATGAGTTTTTGGTCTTTCTTGCTCATAAGTTTGTTTTTGGTGAAAAGTACTCAATATACTTGATAGTGATAATGAATTAATTAAATTGCATATACTTTTGTTAAATTATTATATAAAAAAATAAATTTATTGTTTTATTTTATTGTTTAGTTGAATATAGTTGTAGTTGTATATACATTTATTTATATTTGTACTAGTAACTTTCAATTTTGTTCACGTTTGTTTAAGATAATAAAAATACCGGTAATTTACCGGTATTCCGGTTTTAAAATGAATTATTACCGAAATACCGGTATTGAAATTTTCCATCGGTATTGCATTCTCTAAGACACATATTATGACAAGGCTATGTTATGAAAAACTTTCCATGCTAAATATTGACAAAAGCCATGTGGTTTCTGTGCAGTCAGGCGTATTTCTCATGTTGTCAAGTAGTAAATCTAATCTAAAAACCGCACAAATGTCAAAAAACGATGTTAGATAACAGGATCTTTCTGATCTAGCTTCATAACATACGAGTGACGTTGCAGTTTATGTGTAAAACGCCTGAATGCACAGCAAATACATGACATTTTGACAGTATGCTTTATGATTTAGTACCATAATGTACGGAAGTCGGAGCGTAACATGGCCTTGCCATAACATTGGTCTGTTGGGAGGCGGAATCGGCCCATTGATGTTATTGAGATAACATTATTAGTTAAATGCATTAATTTATTTTTCTGGGCTGAAATATGTATAAATTATTTATTATTACCTGTATCTACACACTGCATGGGTTGTCCAGTCAACGTGTTCCAAAATCTGATACACCTGTCAGCAGTTCCACCTCCGCTGGCCAAAAGTCCATGATGGTGAGGTGACCAGGCGATTGCCTTAACAGCAGCCACATGTTCTGCATAAGTTTGTACGGGACTCGAGGAGTTTATTGAATTTGCATTGCCACCTGGGTAATAGACAGATTGTAATAGAATCTTAGGTTAATAAAAGTAAATAAATTCTCTAGGTTATATTATTTTTTATTTATGTTATTTAAATTCAGAACCTAAATTTGGTATCGATCAAAGGGACATTTTGTCGAATAACATTTTCCCAATTATAATTTCCCAGAATTTATCGAAAAATAGATAGTAATATATAAAGGTCCGGGGTTAAAAAGCTCCACCACCGATGTGTCAAAAACCAGTAAAGTTAAGCATTATTCAACAACAATATTTGAAAGTAGAGGGAAAAAGATGTATAATCAGCTATAACCTTGATTCTTATGACTTTGCTATCGGGAGATAAATATTTAAAAAAAATGACTCTACCGACAAGCAAATTAAAATGTAGAGAAAAAAATATAAAAAGGACTCAAAACAACAATATAAAAAAGGACTCTACTGATGAGCAAATTAAATAAAAAATGCAAAATATATAAGAAGAACTCTACTGACGAGCAAATTAAATAGAAAAATAAAAAATACAAAAAAAGATTCTGCTGACGAGCAAAAGTAAAATAGATACAAAGGACTCTACTGACGAGCAAATTTAATAGAAAAATGAAAAAATATAAAAAGGACTCTACTGACGAGCAAAAAGTAAAATAAAAAAAACCCTACTGACGATCAAATTAAATTGTAGAGAGTAAAATATAAAAAAGGACTCTACTGACGAGCAAATTAAATTGCAGAGAGAAAAATATAAAAAGGACTCTACTGACGAGCAAATTAAATTGCAGAGAAAAAATACAAAAAAAGATTCTGCTGACGAACAAAAGTAAAAAAGATACAAAGAATTCTACTGACGAGCAAATTTAATAGAAAAATGAAAAATATAAAAAGGACTCTACTGACGAGCAAAAAGTAAAATAAAAAAAAACCTACTGACGAGCAAATTAAATTGTAGAGAGCAAAATATAAAAAAGACTCTACTGACGAGCAAATTGAATTGTAGAGAGAAAAATATAAAAAAGGACTCTACTGACGAGCAAATTAAATTGCAGAGAGAAAAATATAAAAAAGGACTCTACTGACGAGCACATTAATTTGCTGAGAAAAAAATATAAAAAAGTAATCTTTGAAAATCCACAATAAAAGTATTTTCCTCCGTTGGTAGTTTTTTAGCATTAGTTAAAAATGTAATTATTTTGTAAAATACCTTTGAAATTAAAATAAGACATTAAACCTGTTTGCCACCTGGCTGTTCCAAGTTACCCCGCCTATAGGGTAAAAAGCTCTAGATAACAAATTTTTGAAAGACATAAAAAAGCACATTTCTACAATGATGAAGTAGCTGACAGTTTTACTGAACGTAGTCAGATAATTGTTCGTTTGAAATTTGTTATTTGTTGTGATATAATTGGTTTCATTTTTATAATATAATTAATATTTGCTCAAAGTCAAATTGGACATTTGTGCCTCGTCCTGCTCTACATATATACATTTTATTAAATTTACTTTAATTCATGGAATGTTACTTGAAACTTTTCAAAAAGCAGGACAAAGAAGAAATACTTAATTCATTTTCTATCTCATCTCGCAGAAATTTGAAAATTTTGTATAAGCTCAGTAGTATTATTTACAATTATAGAAAAAATCCAGAATCCAAAAAGAATATGAAAAACTTGAAACGTAATCAATAAGTCGAAAGACCAAAAAAGACTTGGATTAGATTATACCATGTTTTCTATAGAAAGTGTATAAAACTTCCAGTTTGATTGTATTGACAAAATATAGGCAAACTAATGGGGTTTATTGTTTTTATAATACCTCATTGTATATAGCAATCAAACAGCGCATCCTTATACGCTTAGTATTAATATTTTTGATGCTCTAGAAATTATTTATAATATAGCTTACTTAGCAAAACAACGTTTGCCGGGTCAGCTAGTCTATCAAGTCTATCAAGATCCACTAGACGACCTGTGTGTACGAGTGTCGCCGACAGACTATCTGATAACTATCTTTTTGTGTAATTTTTTATTCGTAGCGAAATATTTAAAGTATTATTAGTAACACTAATATATATATTCACTTATCCCTTATCAACTTTCTTACTTGATGTCGTATGGTGACTCCAAACGTGTAATCTGTTATCATTTCCACCTGATGCCAAATATTGTCCATCTGGAGACCATTTTAGACCACATACTTCTTGTCTGTGACCTGCAAGTCTTCGTTCGGGCACCACACCTGAAAAATAATTAAAACTGATTGTAGAACTCGTATTATTACAGAAGAAACTTTATTTTGCCATGTAGTAAGGGTTAGCCATCCCTGAAAGTTATTTTTAATTTTTAAACCAACTTTATTTTTTTCAGAAAAACAAACATACCCTAAATTTCCACCCTCATTTTTATCCTGCTTCCAGTAAGTGATCTTTTTCAACTAATCAAAATTTTTTGAGCTTATCAGAACGCTCATATTTAAAACACAATTTGATTTAATCAAAAGTTGTCCACTCCTATTGATTTTAGATCAATTTCCTTTACTTATTTATTTATAATAATAAATGCAACCCCCAATTTTCACTCTCCTACCACACATATCTATTATATTAAGGGGGTATTCTAGTGTAGAGCAATGAATGTTTTTATTATCCATTTTTCTACTACATGTTTATTAATATTATTAAAATACAATACAAAAATTTTAAAAAGTTGAAAATTGAAGATACTGGCAGCTGATGAATTGGGGGTCTCAAAAAATTGGCACCCCAGTCTTGCCATGATTTCAGCCATCCTAGCCATCCGAAATAAGAGAAATAAAAAGATTATTAATCTATAATGGCGCAATCGCCCAAACTAGCGATAAGTAAAAAAAAAAATTTGCAACAAATTGGCGACTGTTTGAAAAAAGTGTCTTTTTTACTGTTTTTTTGAGTTTCTCGAATTTTTTAAATATAGTAAAAATTGGAATTTGGTAATGATGCTAGTTCGAGCTGTAGATAGGTCTATAAACAAGACTCTCTGAATATTTCAAGTGAATCGGTCGAGTAGAACACGAGAAATCGTGTCAACAGTACTGAAAAAGTCTGTTCTGAGAAAAACGCATTTTAAGTTTTGCGTGAAGTTTTTTGCTGTCGAAGTCATAAAACGATATGTTATACATATTTTATTTAATCTGACATTCCTGCTTCATGCATCGGACTTTCTTCTACTTCAAAAAAACTATTTCCTTTGAAGCGTTGGATGCTCGTATTTCAGATCGTTCAATCCGGGCATTGTCTCGTCTTATAGCAAATGAATGATTTTCTGGCTCAATTTGCATTACCATAAGGGTCATCATTTTTAAAAATCGGAAAGATATTCATTGAATATGCAAACAGCAATAAATGTTGCTATTTCAATTACCATTGGGAATGATTATGTTTCGGCGCGAAAATCCAAATCAACGAATTTAGTGATACATTATTGTTCTGAGTTTCTGAACCTATACATCGAATTAATAATTTATCTGACGATAAACTGTCTTAAATTGGCCTAATGACTTCCTAATGCCTTTTGTCCGATTAGACCCTGCCAAAGCAGTTTGGAGATCGGGTCAGTAAAATGTCTATATCTCCGAAAATAAATCGAATTTTCAAAAACCTTCTCGTACCCATGTGCTTAGATAGTTAAACTTTGAAAATATGAAACAAAAAAAATCGATTTCTTTGAATTTCTGCACTAGAATACCCCCTTAGCATATATTTATCGATTGGGATGTTTTACTCAATGATGCTTCTACCTAAATGAAAGAAAACTCTATTTCTGTTCAGATTTTCAATTATATGCATATTGACCGCTAGTAAAATATATAATGAATTGCCAAACGATATTAAGATGGCCAATAATGACGATAAATTTAAAAGAAAAATAAAGAAACACTATAAGGGAATTGAAGACAAAGAATACTGAAGAGTTATATAAAGATAGAGATATTTTAATTATAATAGATATTATATTTATGAAATGTACATATAGATTATGAAAACTGTTTTCATAATCTCTCATACCAGGCACTTCTGTCTGCCTAAGATATGAAAATAATGTATATATATAAATAAAAAAATAATAACACACAGTCTGATTAGGTACTTATTATTTATAATTTTTAATTAAACTCACTTGGTGTCCTCGTATCTCTTTGTAAAATCAGCCTATCACGACTGCCCGAAGACAAAAGATCACCATTCCATGCTAAGGCACCAACTCTCGCACTATGTCCATGCAATTTGTTAACCTGCAATATCAATAAATAATAATTAATAATAAATAAATGTCGAGTTAAAATATTTTATTGTTTTTGTATCTGTTTTTATCTTATCGCATTATTAGGCGTAGCCAAAATATTTCTGGCATGCATCAACAAGTCGAAATTTGATATTTTCATGTTTTTACGTTAGGACAGATAGTGATTAAAAAAATATTAACAAAAAATTTAATACGTATTTAAATTCCCGAGGGATAAGTTTGTTTTCGGGAAAAAATCCGATTTGCTAGATTTTTTATGTTGTCGAGGTTTCAAGTCATTCTGAATTGAATGATACCAAATTTGGAAAAAGTGTGGAAGCAGATTTTTGACCTATCAACGACGTTTTCTCAAAACCGTTTCTTTGCACTGAGCATAAAAGTGTAAAAAAATTCGTCCCGTTGTGGCCCACAATTTTGAATCGATAGTAAAAATTCGGAAAGTGTTTGAAAGATATTAGATGGAAATCGTGCTTGTTGCCACTAAACTGCTCCTCAGCGGCTATTTCAATTTGGATAAATCATTTTAGAGTGTGTCAACGCATTCTGGACTAAAAAATTTAGTAATCATGGAGAAACAACTTTCAAAAAAAACAACTCATTATTGCTTGACACATGAGATGAGAATTGTCAAAATGTCAACTCATTTAAAATTTGAACTTAGGAACCGATTCTGACGTAAAATAGACCAATGTTATGGCAAGGCTATGTTACCTAGAACTTCTCATGCAAACTGTACTAAATACTGATTAAATGTTGTCCACGTATTTGTGTCAGTATCTGAAACGCCCGACTGCGCAGCAACCACATAAACATTTGACAGTTTTTAGTACCATTTTGTATGAGAAGCACTGAGTGAATAAAATGATACAATAAAATGAACTTAAACTAGTAGTGTATGGCATCGTGCCTTAAGGCAAATTACTGGAACTTCCCGTACTAAAAATTATTTTTTTTAAAGAGTCTTTATAATTTTTCAAAAACTTTGATTTTTAAGAATTTTGAAATTTTTAAAGAAATTAGACTTGTAAAATTTTAAAATATTTTATTATATTTTGATTTTTTTCTTAATTTCTTTTTTTTAAGGCAATCGCGCTGCTTGAGCTGCGTTGAGATGAAATATCAAAGCGCGTAAGCGCCGCGTCGCAGTCTTACAGATAAACATTGTTACGGAATATAAACAAAATTTGTACTTATTAAAATCTCTATAAAATATCTGATAATACGATGTATTATATGTCTAATCTTCATTTTTGACCGTCAAATGGCAATTTTTTCACTTTTTTTATTGGATCTCCGAAACCGCTAGACCTGCCTTCCCAAAAATTTCATCAGTTTTTCATTTTGTTAATACAAGTAAAATGTTTTTTTTGAATTCTTGAAATTGGACGCTTCGGTCTTTCAAACACTGAAATCCAATTTTTGGCACATTTGGCCCGCATATCTCATTATCAATACGAATCGAATGTTTTTTGGATTATTCAAATCGGTTGATCCGTGTTCACGTAATCGTCGACGAAAATTTGTATCGGAACGCACACACACATCCGTGTTTTCTAATTATAAGGTATGTCAAAACGTTCAGAAATCTCTGAAACGTAAAGATATATAAAAAAATTTCATGTTCGATTTTTTTGCGATTACTATAACTAACCCTTCGAGAAGTTAAATATGTTAAATTATCGGTAAGAAAAATATAATTTAGAAATTATCATTCCCAAAAACGAACTAAATAATAAATTACATTTACTTTGAGAGTTGACAGTTCAAACAATATCAATTTATCTGAAATTTATACTTAAATGCTGATATTTGTTACATTCTAAGTAAGAAAAATGTAATGCCGACATTAGTATTGCAAAGAAGCGACTAAAGTAAGGTAGATCTGCCAGGCCGTCTCTTCGTATTTTTTTTTTTTAAATTGTATAACGGTAGATTTGTAGTTTGAAGTAACATACTAAAACATTATATACTTTGGAGGCGTCCATTAATCACGTGAAGTTTTTTGGAGGAGTGGGAGAGGGTTGGATAAAAAAAAATCACGAAATATCATGTGGGAAAGGGATCAGTATAGTAAGATATCATGTGTATTTATTTTTTTCCCTGAAATTTAAAAAAAATCCAAACATTTTCAAAAAAAAACGAAAATTTTACAATTTTTTCTCGTAACTAAAAATTTACGTGATGTTTGGTGGAGGAGGTGGGAGGGTTAATTTTGAATATCACCAAGAGGAGAAGAATGAAAAATGAAAAATCTCTGAAAAATCGATCACGTGGTTGACGCGCCGCCTTACGTTGAAATATAAAAATTCATAAAAGTTTAGAATTTTGCATCTCGCTTGAGCGATTATAACATCAGAGAAATGGATGAAAAGAAATACCTAAATTTAACAATTATTAAGTTGATTATGTATAAGTATCTGGAAGTTGCTTTAAGGCAACATGCCACTTACAAACTAATTTTATTTACTATCTCACCTGTTTGTTGGCCGCAACGTCCCAAACCGTTACGTAACCGTGATGTGTTCCCAACCGCCACCAAATTTCCTCTCTCATTCCACGACACAGATGTAACTGCATTGCCATCAGAGCTCAAGTCACATAAACGAGTCACCTAGTAAAAAAAAAATCACCATTTCATCCAAAATTCTTTATCTCAAAATTTATCTCATGGTTATAATTTATCTTATGGTTATCATTTATCTCATGGTTATCATTTATCTTACCTGGCTGGTGCAGGCGCTCCACAAATAAACGCAGCTGCCCAATCGACACTGAGGACGTTAAGGGCTGACCAGTCAACCAGATTCAGATAGAAATCGTCCTGTAATTCTGGTGCGTCCAGGACTTTGAAAGGGATCTTCGAGATCTTTCTGGTCGCCTTGCAGGGCGATCGGAGCAGGCGTTGCGATTTGGCACTGACCGGCGATAGGGAATAGGGTGCTGCTCCTGGTACATCCTGGGGAAAAGAAAAATTGTTAGAACTTCCTGTTTCATGAGAAAATAATTGGGTCCTAAATTACTAAAATTTGTGATAAAAATGTAAATAAGAAAAAAATTAAATACAGTAGAACTCCAATTATCCGAATTAATGGGGACCGGGACCCATTCGGAGTTTTTTTTAAAAAATTGCCATTGGAGAGAAAAAAAGTTACGTTTTGATATTGCACTATTTTTTTATTGAATTAAATGAAAGAAACATGACATTTTCACATGTTTTAAATATAAATAAAATGCACTTATGTACAAGTTTAGAAATAAAAATCATTGTTTTTTAAACATCTCCGTCAATGTAAGCTGTTTTAACTGTAACTTAGACTTTTTTTGGACAATTTTTTTTCTGAAAGTGATTCGTATAATCGGCGATTCGGATAGTCGGAGTTCGGATAATTGGAGTTCTACTGTATTTAGATTTCTATAGGTTCCGTACCAAGATTTATGATGTTTCCGTTAGACTGTGACGCGGCGCTTATTCGCTTGCGAAAATTTTAATTTTCGGTACGGGAAGTTCCAGCAATTTGCGATGGTTAAATTTGAATTTATATAATTTTAAATAAGTTTAGCCACAATATTTCAAATCAATTATTAAGTAGCGGTTCATGGCATCGTGCCTTAAGAAAAATTGCTGGAACTTTTCCGTACCATAATAAAATATTCAAAAAATAAAATTTAGGTAAAAATTTTTTTTTTATTTTTTTTCCAAAAGCAATCGTTTCGTCAACACAAACAGAAAGTTTTTTGAATCATTCAAATCGAAAGCTTAGATCTCTCAAAAACTGCCATTTTTGCACAATTAGCTCGGTATCTCCAAAACGGCTGGACGTGCCTTTGCCAAAAACTGATCATCAGATCTCCCCATCATTTTAAATTGAGTGTTTCTTGAATCATTCAAATCGGATACTCCGTTCTCTCAAACACTCGATTTTAATTTTCTACACTCTTTGCTCCCTATCTCCGAAACGGCTGGACCTGCCTTTGCCAAAAACTAATCAGCACATCTCCCCATCAACAGGAATCGAATGTTTTTTAAACCATTCAAATCGGTTGATCCATGCGCCTGAAAACGTGGACGAAAAATTGTATCCATACATACACTCACACAAACACACATCTATTTTTTCTGAGGTATGCCAAAATGTTCAAAAACCTTCAAAACTTGAAGAAATGCAAAAAATTTAAATTTCGATTTTTGGATGATTACAATGACTTACCCTATTGAAAGTTAAAAAAAATTGTTTGAAGATTTTATGAGTATGTAAAATTTTATTTAGAAATGTGTGAAATTTTTGAAAACAGTGCAGAAAATTTTGATACATGTCCCTTTTAATTTGTATAACTTCAACTAAATTTAGCAAAAAATTTAGAGTTTAAATGATATTAAAATATCAAAAATACCATCGAGCCTAATACAAAGAATGTCGTTAAGAATTCTTATGGTAATTTTGGAACGTTTAACCCAAAGGGCACGAGCCCTTGTTTCCGTTCTCCTAAAAATTTGCATAAAAATGCATATTCATATATATATATATTATATATATATATATATATATATATATACATAACGGTTTACCTCGTCTACAACTACTCTAGTTCAGTTGTTGAATTAATATAATTTCGACTCATTGTGTTTTTAATTGGGTTAGGCTGAAACGTATCAATTATCATAATTTAATAATAAATTTTATTCCTACTATTCAGTTAGTTTCAACAATACATTGTGTATTGTTTTGAAATCTAAAGCCGTATTCACACGAAAAATATTTAAAACCGTAATTTATGTTTGTCAATAGGAAAGTTCATTTTGATTGATAAATGTATGAAAATATAGTAATATTTTTTTGCACGCAATCTTTTTTTAAAAAATATTATCTGATAATTATTTGGTTAAATTTTAAAGAACTTTTATAATTAAACCACTTCTCATAGGCCTATAATATTTTAAGGTGTTCGGTTTGATTATAAACTCTATCAACATGCGAAGTTTTATGAAAATACCTGAAAAGTAAACCTGAGGGTAAATTTGTCGGTGAGGAATCAAAAGTGTGTTTAGTAAAAGTACAGAAAGGAGATATTTAGTTCAAAAATTTTAAAAGTAGAATATATATACTTATAAATTTTCTCGAATAAAATTTGTCGACGAAATATTGTTTATTCACAAATTATGCAAACACAAGTGTTATCATATGTCTGAACGACGATAATATGTCATGTTAAAACAAACACTAGTTTAGTAATAACATTTGTATACATTGTTGTTAGATATATATATATATATATATATATATATATAATATATATATATATATATACTGGATGACCCGACAGACAGTCTACAATTCAAAAACTCCTATACTTTTTAATATCCTATTTGATGTCCTGCCTTTGTGATTCATTTTTGGTCTTTTAGCATAAGCAGTATAAGAAATTCAGAAAAAATATATATAATATCAGCCTAAAAAAAACAATATCACACTTGATTTTACCACACAACATAATTGCTTCAATAATTTAGTCTACAATTTTCATAATCTCGTTCGATATATTAGTTGCTTTTTTGGCTATTATAATTTATAAAGTGCATTTTTGTTACTAATAATTTAATAAACATTATTGTTTATGTTCAAATTTTAGGTGAATTAATTCGTAAAATCTAGTTCATATGTTCACTATTCAATCTAAGATCAACTTGCTAAATATTCCATATCCAATGCCAAATAAATGAATTTTTGACACGTGACAAAAACAAAATTCTTAATTTTTTTAATAAGTACAAATATTTTTTGTATTGTTAAATAATTTAGTAAAGTAAAACAAAATGCGACATTCATAAGTTTAAAAAAATGATGTATATGCAATTTTGAACTTGCTGCGTAATTTATTAAACTAAATTATATCTTATATTAACTAAATTTCTGGCACATCTCAGCTGCATTTCGGTAATAACAATAAAGATATTACATTTTTCTTGTACATTATATTCTAATATTATCTAGGCTCGTAATTTCAGCTAAATTCAAATTCCAAGTAAAATGAAATTTCTGGCAGGTGACTGTTTTGTCAAAATATTTTGTCAAATAATGATATGTTGTTTTTTGAAATTTTTACCATTTATTTCTACAATATTACTATATTTTTATAATCATCCTTAAAATTTCCCTTAACAAACTCCAAAAAGATTTACCTAAATCCGAATAAATGTTTAATTCGTATTCTTTCATACACCTGTACAGAAGAATTTTATATATAAGATATATAATTAATATTTGAAAATTAAAGTCGTTTTCAAATATTGATTCTATTTACAAAGTCTTTTGAGAAAAAATGAGTGATATCAGTGGTGATGGGACGTATCTAGTTCCGAAACGTTGTTATTTGATAACGTAAAAAAATATTTTCAATTCAGTAAATAAAATTGTCAATCTAAAATATTTATTCAACACTAAAACGGCTGCACCAATTTCAAAAATTTTAAGAGCATTTGATAGTAAGAACTCGCGTAGATTTGTGAGATCGGTCGAGCTGTTTTTTTAGAATTAACAGAACAGTTAAAAACTTTTTGTGCACGTTAGAATAAATTTTTGATGAACATTAATTTTTTTTTTATTTGCATTATATTTTAAGTTGCAATTTGTTACTATTTGTTCCAATTGCCCTACAGTAAATTTTTCATTTTGAATAAAAAATATAAATTTTCTCGTTTCGAAACATTAAATGACCAAAAGCGTCGTAGCATTTGTAATAAATTATATTTGTAATATATGTATATATATATATATATATATGTATGTATAATAAATGTAATAGTTTAAATATTTAGATCAACCTTGTAATGCAAAATGCAATTGTGGCATCTAATGCATTCGTCTAACAGTTTTCTTAAATGCATTTGCATAGAAATAACTTATACAAAACCGCATTCGGACTTTCAAATACCTCACACATATACACACACATACATACATACATACATACATACACACACTTGTATATATATACATACATATATATATATATATATATATATATATATATATATATTATTATAAAAAAAATCTGCATTGTGAATCAGAATTGCATATCAGGCCCATGAAATAAAATCTCTATAAAATGTCTTAAATTATTTAAACAAAAGCTTTTAATATTAATAGTATAATATTTTTATATCCAGAATTTTATGTAATTTGAAATATGTTTCAAAAATATATATGCAATTAGTAAAATTTTAATTATTTAAGTCATTACAAGTCTTGGCTAGACTTTCTCGGACGTCAGCTTAATGAGGCACTAATTTGTTAGGACATATTTGTATATATATATATATATATATATATATATATAAATTCATTTTTGTGTTAAAATATTTCTTACCGAGATATTTCAAATGTATTTATGTCAAAGTATCAAGATGATAAGGCAATCGCCTTACTTTTTATCATTGTAGAAATGGATTTTTGTTTTTTACTTATGAGGACTGATAACACTGATAAAGAATAAGATACACCTATATATATATACATATATATATATATATATATATATATACTAGATGACCCAGACAGAACAGATGTTGGTTTGCCATGAAAAATATCTCTAATATAAAATGTTGGGTATAAAAATAACTAACTAAGAGGGCAGCTAACAAAAAACATAAAATTTATTAAACAAAATGATAATATTATAGAAGTAATTGTAACAAAATAATTAATTGTAAGGCTTATTAAATTTTTAAAAAAATACTTGCAACAAACAAACTATTTATATTTAAAAATAATTAATATTAACTAAATATAAATAAGTTTATAGTAAATAAATTAAATAATAAATAAGTAATAGTTAATTAAGTTATATTTAATTTGCAAAATATTGACTTGAGCCTTATTATAATATTATTATACCGACGGCTTGTAAAATAAATAAATAAATAAATATTATAAAATAGATATTTGTGGAAGGAGAGCG